TTTTTTTTTGCAGTTTGGCCAGGGCCAGGTTGGAACCCCTCCACCCTAGGTATATAGGGCTGGCATCTTACTCACTGAACCACAGGCGCCACCCTATCCACAAATATATTTAATGTTCTTGTCAGAGTGTCATTAATTCAAGGATCATAGTCTTCTTGTAGGGCAACAAAATAAGATTCTCTTTTTTTTTTTGAGACAGAGTGCTTTCCAAATGCTAAGATTATAGGCATGAGCCATAGCACCTGGCCATGACTCTGTCTCAAAATAAATAAATAGCTCACAGCAATCTCAAACTTTTGGTTGGGCTCAAGCAAACCTTTTGCCTCAGCCTCCTGAGTAGATGGGCCCAGTTAGCATACCCAGCTAATTTGTCTATTTTTATTACAGACAAGGTCTTACCCTTGCTCAGGCTGGTTTCAGAATTCCTGAGTTCAAGCAATCTACCTGCCTCAGCCTCCCAGAGTGCTAGGAGTATAGGCATGAGCCACCATGCCCGGCCTGTAGGTTTGTTTCTATTCATGGTTTCTATTGATTTTCGCTCAGATCTCCTCTCTGGTTGCCTCTCACTTCTATGAGGAGATAATTTGAGGCCTAGAATGATAGTGTCCTCTAAAGAGGATTTTGTTTTTTACCAGGTGCCTGGAGGCAGTAAACATTCAGAACCACCTTAATTCAGTTTCAAAGCTTGAGATGTTCTGAGTCACCCAGATGATTCAAAGCTAAGATACATCCTATGCTAAGGTCTAAATTGTTTGATCAGCTTACTATGCTTACCTTGGAGAGCCTGTATCCCAGCTGTTGTCTCCCTAACTTTATGTGTACAAGGCTGCCAAAAGCATAGCCCATTTTTCAGCTACCTTTTCAAGATGAGAAAACACCCTCGTGGGTATTGAGGCTAATCTGTTAAACCCATCTCTAGATTTCTATCCTCTCTTTGATCTTGGAGAGGTAATTACTAATAGTAATCACTATCTTATTAGCAATTTAATGCTTTTAAGAAAATACATATATTTGTCCAACATTTTCAGTTTTCTTCAGTAAGAGGATAGTCCAAATAGTCTGCCATTACTGGAAACTGAAATTTGATGTGTTTCTTAAATTTCTTATACTCATCATCACTGACTAAAATAAAACAAAAATAATTTAAATTTATTCAGTATCAAATATAACATGCCGTCATATATAACAATTAAGACTCTTAGTTGCAAGTGTGAGGAGCCCAACTCATGCGGAGGAAAAAGCTCATGTAACTGAAGAATCCAGAGGTGTTTCTTGTTTAGCCACAGTTGAATCCAAAGACTCCACCAGTGTCATCAAGATTTGGTCCCTCTCTCTTCACTCTGCCACTTCTGTTAGTGTCACCCTTAGCATATTCACAGGATCCAAAGGCCTGCCTGTGTTACATGGCACAGGGGAATTAAGGGTGCTAATTAAAACAGATTATTTTGGACTATTTGGGTAGGCCCAATGTAATCACACATGCTATCCAAAGTGGAAGAGGGGGCCAGGCACAGTGGCTCATGTCTGTAATCCCAACACTAGGAGGCAAGATAGAAGAGGATTGCTTGAGCCCAGGAGTTTGAGGTTGCAGTGAGTTGTGATGACTGACTTCGCTGCACTCTAGCTGGGGCAACAGAGAAAAAAAAATGTTACACAATTTCTATGGAAGTCAATATGGAGATTTCTCAAAGAACGAAAAATACAGCTACCATTTCATCCAGCCTTTCAACTACTGGATATCTACCAAAGGTAAAAGGAATATCAAAAAGATACCAGCACTCATGCTAGGTGCAGTGGCTCACGCCTATAATCCCAATAGTCTGGGAGGCTGAGGTGGGATGATCACTTGAGGCCAAGAATTTGAGAGCAGCCTGAGCAGCATAGCAGGACCCACCACTAAAGGAAAAAAAATTTTTTTAATTAGCTAGTTGTGGTGGTGCATATCTGTAGTCCTAGGTACTCAAGAGGCTGGAGTAGGAGGATATAGTGAGCTGTGATTGTGCCACTGTACTCCAGCCTGGGTGACAGAGCAAGAGTTTGCTACATCTAAAAAAAAAAGATCTAAAATCTAAAAAAAAAGATAACACGCACCTTTATGTGTATCTCAGCACTATTCACAATAGCAAAGATAGGGAATCAACCTAAATGTCAGTGGATGACTAGATAAAGAAAATATGGTATACATAATTAAAAACTATTCAGCTATAAAAAAAGAATGAAATCATGTCTTTTGCAGCAACTGGAGGCTATTTTAGCAAGTCAGACACACAGGCAAATATTGCGTGTTCTCTTTTATACATGGGCACGGATATAGAGTGGAATGATAGACAGTGGAGACAGGTGGGGGGGGTGGTTAATGAAAAATTACTTTTTTTTTCTCACTCTGTCAGCCTAGATAGAGTATGGTGGTGGTATAGCGCACCGCAACCTCAAACTCTCAGGCTCAAGCATTCCTCTTGCCTCAGCCTCCTAAGTAGCTGAGATTATAGGCATGCACCACTGTGCCTGGCTAGTTTATTTTTGGTAGGGACTGGGTCACGCTCTTGCTCAGGCTGGCCTCAAACTCCTGAGTTCAAGCAATCTACCCACCTCGGCCTCCCAGAGTGCTGGGATTACAGATGTGAGCCACTGTGCCCAGCCAATGAGAAACACTTAGTGGGTAAAATGTACATTTGCGGGGTGACAGATACTCTAAAATTCCCAGCTTTACCGCTATGCAGTCTATGCATGTAACAAAATTACATTTGTGCCCTATTTATTTATATTTATAAATAAATTCTGTGTGATTCCATATATATGTATTTTATGTACTTTTCTGAAAAGAGCCTTGACTTTTATGAGATCAAGTCTACTACTCATAGGTGGTCATGAACTCCCATTCTAGAATTGTATTGCCTGGAACTTCATATTAGTATTCTCCATGAGTATATTGCAAAGTTGGCAAAGTCCATTTGTCACATTTTTATAAAATTATTGCTTCAATTGTCTTAACTCTCTGTCCTACAGGACATCCCTCCACTTCGAGTGAGTGAATAATAATACTTTACATTGTGCAGCTTTTCAGCTTATAATGAATGCTCTTTCAGCATCTGATGCTCACAACTGCAGACATTCATACAATATAGGTTTGGAGCTCCCAGACAGTCAACTTCTGGAAGGAGCAGCCAAAGCATTTTGATTGAGAATGTCTCCCCTCCCCTCCTGGCACTGGGCCAATATTGCTACACCACATGATACCCAAAGAGGAGAAGCAGATTCCTCATTGTTTATAGGATTAATTTAAATTCCTTCCTTTTCTTGTTCAGTGCCTATAGCTCAATGGTTAGGGCACTCGCCACATACACCAAGGCAAGCGGGTTCTAACTCTGCCCAGGCCTGCTGAACAACAATGACAACAGCAACAAAGAAAATAGCCAGGTGTTGTGGTCCTGTAGTCCCAGCTACTTGGGAGGCTGAGGCAGTCCAAGAGTTTGAGGTTGCTATGAGCTGTGACATCAGGGCACTCTATCCAGGGTAATGAGACTCAAATATCGGGGCGGCACCTATAGATCAAGAACAAGGGTGCCAACCACATACACTG